ATACTTTCTTGTGTCTCTTCTTCGTTTTTATGAGATTTTTCGTAGTTGTTGATGATGTGCTTTTTTATACATTTTTTTTTTTTTGCTTTTCAGTTTTTTCTGTCGCTTTTTCGTTGTGTAGTACAGCATATTTACGCGCGGACTGGACATCAACAAGGCACGATGTCCGCAGAGCAGTACATACGATACACATAGTGCATGCATATAGCTACATATACATATATATATATGTGTTAATATGTATTTGTAAATTTATATTTTATTATATTATTTTTTGTGCGCCAAAAAGGCAACACGAATACTTTGAAACGCAGGCGCTGTAGAGGTATGTTTGTACGGCTCTTGGCATGTATTTTTGTATGTGTAAATGCGTGCTGTGAGCACTTCGCAGTTGTTAACTGTCGCCTTCCTAGTTGATTTTTCACTGTCAGCAACGTCATTACAACTTTTTCTCCATTTTTTATTTTTATTTTTTTTTTTTGTTTTTATTTCTTTTTTTCCTTTTGCCTTTTTGTTTTTGTAGTGTGTAGCGAATTTCATTTTTGCGCCATTATGATGCCTCATTGCGGTTACTCTCGTTTATTATTGCCTTTATGAAGTGCAGCAAAACGCTCTGTCCAATTTTGCTCTCTGCCATGTCTTCAACATTTTGTGTTTCTTGGCGTCGTTCGTTGTCATCGACGTCATTAGCAACACAAGTGCCGTGTGGCCGGCAGGGCGAGTCAGGCGAATGTGGCGACCAGTGGCGCAGCAAAGCGGCGCGCAAGCTCACTCGAATTCACACAAGAAACGGTAGCAAATTGTTTGATTATCTTCCAAGTTGTTGTCTTCATTTTTTATGTCTTATGATTTTTATTATTTTTGCGCACTTTTCACTTTTCCTTTTTCTTATTTTTGTCTTGCGCTTCTTTGTCTCCTCATTTGCCTTTCGCCTTTATTTTCTGCGCGCATTCACGCTTGTCTCCAGCGAAGCTGTTTGTTTTCATTTCATTCTTCCTGTGAAAATGAGTATTTTGCGGCAATACAATCTTTTCCACATTTAATAATTTTTGGTATCAAATTTTTGCGTTGTGTTTTTCTCGAGCTTTTTCGCCAAAGCATGTACTTGTATTTCAACTGTTTCTATTTCTGCTTTATAGTATTTTTCCTTTGTTGTGCTACACTTCTGTCGTTTGCTGTTGTTGTATTATATTTTACCAACTTTTTGTTGTTGAATTTTTTTTTTTTTTCAGCTCTGTTCTGTTGAACAAGCGCCAACGCATGCGAACAGCGGTGCCTCATAAGAGGCCTTCATTCATTCTTTTTCCTTGTGTGTGTGTGTGTGTGTGTGCAATACTTGAGCTTTGTATTATTTTTCAATTTTTTCTATTTACTTTCTTTTCTTTATTTCGCTTTTTTATTTTATTTTGTTGCTTTTTTCATTTACCATATTTTATTCCTTTAAATTGTGTCTCTTGTTAGCTGCTGTTTTTTTATTTATGCATGTCCGAAATGTGACTTTGATTGTTGCTTCAAACTGTCGCACACAGATGCACACACATACACACACCACGAACGTAGTTAATTTTTTTTTTGTTTTTGCTTTGTTTGCGAGTTGCCGGCAGCTGGCTTTGTGTATGGCTTTTAATGTGCATTTGTGCCTTCTATGTTAAGTACATACATACATATGTATAAGTATATATAATATACATATGTGTGTGCGTGTTTATATTTGTTTGCCAATATAAATGTGTCATATTGTTTATTTTTGCATGATTTAATACTTCATGGCTTCATTAAAAATGTGCTTTTTATTTTGCGGAAATTTGTGGAAGTTCAATTCCTTGAACGAGTATCTTCTGCCTGCCTCCATACATACATACAGTATTTGTTTATGGATGTACTTATCGCTGTAAAGTCCAATGCTTTACAACAGTTTATATATTATATTATGTTTTAGATTTGTTTTTGTCACAAATTGGCACTTTGGAGTTGGATTTTGTTTTAAGATTTAAGAAAAAATATTTTTATCCATTAATTTTCATTTAATTGTGTCAAAAAAAAAATATATTTTTAAACACATTTTTTTAATTTTTGCTCAATTTTTGTTTTTACGAAAATGTCTTTGGTGTGACTACACTCGGAAGAGTTTAAGATCATTATTTCCTTGAGTCTCAATAGGGGCATAATATGAGCCACTTAGAATCGATTTAAGTAGTTTTGGTTTAGTTTTTATTGTTTTCCAAACTGTTTTTTTTAGCTCCAAAATGTTTGTTTCTTTATAAATATTTTTTTTTTACTTTTAATTTTTATTTTTTTCTTCCGCATCAAAAAACCCAGTAGCCCAATTAATATTTGAAGTAAAAAATTGCATTCGAATTTCTTTTTGGAAAATATTTGAAAATTTGATCTCATTTTATTAACAAAAAGCATTCTTTACTTTATTATATTTATTTATTGCATTCCCAATGACAAATTACACATTGTTTGAACAACATATTTGAAAAAAAAAGAGCTGCATTTTTATGACACCGAAAAATTATTAAGTTTCGACCTCATTTGATCCATTAATAATAACTATCATCAATCATTTAAAGAAGATTTAAATTATTTTTTCATACCTTGAGGAAAATAACTCATTTATCAAAATATTAATTTTCAAAATCTCAACCAAAAATTATTAACATGAATTTATATCGCTTTTCTTTAGAAAAACTAAAATTTTCAAGCAAGAGTTCAATTAAAAATATTATTTCAATTCTTTTTTCTCTACTTATTTCAGTTCAATTAACAATGGAAAATATTTGATCTACAAAAAATAATTATTCTCGTTTGAAGTTGGCGAAAATAATATCAAAAACGATTCGTACAAAACGCGCTGATTGATTAAAAAAATATTATATAACAAGTTTTAATTATTTAATTCAAAAAAAAAAAAATATTTCATACAATAATTTGGTGCGAAAATTCCTTCATTTTTGCTATTTATTTTGTGTGTTTTTGTTTGACATTTATTACTAAAATTAAAAAAAAAAAATCTTATTTCATTTGAAAGCCTCTTCTTTCTGTTCAAAAACTTCAACGCCTCTTTTTCACGTAAATTCTAAATTGATTTCTTTAGAGAAACTCGCACTTCTACAAGAATCAGTATTGTTCAGCTCTTTTTCTTTGTCATTGGGCAAAATGCTCTAATTTTTCCCAACCTCTTACTAGAGCTCTAGATGATCGGCGATGCGACTACTTCAATACTCGTTCATTATCCGCCTTTGTTAAGATTTGTTTGAATATTTCGATCTATCGAGCAGTTCGAGTAACAGTACAATTTTTATAGCATTTATTTGACAAAGTTCGTTTGACTTTACAATTATTCAGTAATAATTTGTTAAGCATTTTAATAATTTTAATACATTAAAACATCCTTGATAAAAAAGTGCCAAATATCAAGGCGAATTCATCAAGGTGGAGCTACTAGAGCAGCGAATTCAACTTTTCTCACTTAATTAATTCGCTTCAATTTAAGGCTGTCAAAATGTCTGTTTATATTTTGCATTTTTGATTATATTTTGCTTTTTATCTGTTTACATTTAATTTGAATTTCCATTTGAAAAAGTTAAAATTTTCAAATTCAATTTTTTTTTGCTTTCTTCAAATAGAAAATATGAACTGTTGCTGTTGTACATTTGTTCGAGCCATTTCGCGTGTGTACTAAAAGCAACGAGACAACGGAATTCTTGCTCAAGCTAGCTTAGCGAGCCAATGAATGAAGCCGTGGTGTTCAATGGACTCTTCCTATGTGTCCACAGTCATTGGTAATAGCCTGTTTTCCCGTGAAGCTCCATTGAACGGTTATCTGTTATTACACCCGTAGTTATGCTAATGTATAACTGGCTTAGAAGGATAATATGTTTAGATTTTTTTGTGTCCGATTTTGGTCATAGCTATCTGGTCACGTTACACGTGGCCTCATCCAACCATCTAATGTTTGCATTTTTGGCTAAGGTCAAACTTAGAATATACTATGCCGTGGCAATGGTAAGCCTTAATCCCTTATAAGTTCGTCTGACTGTTGCACTGTTATCCTGTAGAGATGTGATGGCTATTTAACTAATGGAATATATCGTAACTGATAGTCCTGCTACCGTAGGTTTGAAGCAGCCACTTGGCGGCTTCCATAATTGCAAACAGTTCTGCGTGGAAGACGCTGCAGTGGCCTGGTCTTGTTTATAAAATATTACAGTTAAAAATGATATATTCTTCCAATGCTTACTATAAACAATAATTATAATCAATTACATATGTATGTATATAACCTGTAACTACCAACACATAGTTAGTTACAAAAACTAAAGAAGTGCGGTAGTTCTAGTAACCTCGTAAGAGCGGCCAATTAATTAATCTAATGGGCATTGCTTAAAAAATTCAGTTCCAAAGGAGCTCTACTTGAAGGGTCATATAAATTAGGAAACTTTGATTCTTAAGCTAACGGCAACAAATCTATTTTTTGTTTTTTCTTCTTTTCTGATTTTCGTTTTGAAATATTGATTCAACTGGACAAAACCGAATTGTATGAACTTGCCATGATTTTGACGATTGTTACTACTGAAAACAAAACCAAAATACACGATAATTGCTGTATTTGTTCTCCTGCTCTCACCTTTATGAATTCGCCTTGCCAAATTTCAAGTAAGAGTGTTTGAATATTTTCGAAAATAGTTTTTTAGTCCCTATAGTCCTAAAATCACGCACAAAAACAGATTTTAAGCAATTTATTTCATTTGGATTTTAATTCTAATCCGCCAACAAGTCTTCAATTAGAAAATTCATTAAAACAGGCTTTTTGAAGAAAAGTTCCTATTCTAACTAAATCTGAAGGAATAAATAAAGTTTTTCAAATCTTGTGTTCTCGAATTTTCGAAAGTAATTCCACCGACGCATGCATTGTTTTACGAAGCATTTTTCCCTTTGCCCAGCACCAACAGATTTCTGATGCTTAAGAATTAATTTTCCAATTTTTTTGTCAATTTTTCAAGGACGAAGCGAGCAAAAATATTGCCTTTCTTTCATTTTACAACTTTAATGGAAACAAACCAATATAGATTTAAATAAAAAAACAAAATTTTTCCAATTTTTATATACCAACCTTTGTTAATCCACTTGATATTCACCGGCAGATTTTTTGTTCAGTTGAATTTCAATAACCAACGCGATTTTATTTGCATTTTTAATTCATTTTTTCGGAAACAATTTCTTACACCAAAAATTTTCTTTCTCGCAAATATATTTTTGGAAGGTGGAAGGAAATGAGTAAAAAGAATATTTATAAAAAAAAAAGATGTGGGGAAAGGGGGGAAACTTTGCGCACTTTTTTTAAAAATCTTCTTATACACTTTTTCGATTTTCGTTTCCAATTAGCAAAATATATATATATATTTCATTAAAATTGTATACAGTAAAGTAGAAAATACTTTTGGCAGTCCATTTGCTGCTTTGCACTTTTGTTTACTGCGTTGTTATCTTTCGAACACTTTGAACACTTTATTATTTTTTTTTTTGTTTTTGTTTTTGTTTTTGTTTTCTTCACGAAATAAAATATCACTTTCACTGACATTACACCATTTTGAAAATCTTGCTTTTGTTTTCTTTTTTTTTTTTTTGTTTGTTTGTTTTTATATTGTTTCAATATTAATTCTTCATCCTGGTTTTTAAGCAATTTTCTTCGTTTTCATTTGTTTTAGCGAGAAAACACTGCACAAACTGCACTGCTTGGAACTTTAAACACAAAAAACACGACACAATTTTTTTTATTTTAATTCAAGAATTTTTATCCTTTCGATTTTTTATAAAAAATAGTAGATGAGCGGAATTGTGTACTATATTTGACCGAGAGTTGAAATATTTTTGTTTGCTTGCGTGTATGTGGATGAGAGAGAGAGAGAGAGATGAGGAGTATGAACGGCGGCAATTGTTGTTAAAACATTCAAATTCAAAACACGACAGGCCGCTTCGCTTTGTACGGTGCAAAAGTGTATGGAAAACAACTTTTCACCCCTTCGAAGGATACACTACAACTGTTCGCAGCAAACGGTCGCACGCCAAAACCAACCCCTGTTCCATATGCCATGCTGTGTCGCTGGCAACAGCGGCAGCAGCGTCGGCAGCAGTAGCACATTGCTGTCGCGGTCAAACCAAAGGTACCCGAACAAAATTGTCTGAGGCTTGTTGCATGTGGCGTTGACTGCATTGTTGCATTTGCAACATATTCATCCAATTTCCCGGTTGCAAATCAACCATTCGATCATTCATTGGACCAACCATTCTATATATTATGTATATGTGCATTTGTATGCGTTTATATATGTTTATATTTTTCTGTATCTCTTTTGTTTCCTCTCACATATTTCCAACTCGAAATCCCCATTGGCACCAACGAACTTGTTGGATCCGTTGCATCCTTTCTGCAACATGTTGCTTCGTGTTTGATTTTGGTACGGGAATGTTTTGAAATAATTGAAACATTGGTTCCACATTTGTAAGAGTGTATGTGCGGTTACATGCACACATATAATCCATTGTTGTTGCCATTATGTTGTTGTTGTTTGCCATTAGTTTGGAATGTTTTTATTTGGATTTTGTTGTGAATTTGTTGTTTATGTTCTAGTTTGGACAACAAGCGGCAGCAGTTGGCGCTTTCATTATAGGAACAGTGAACAGTGGGATAGTTTAGTAATAACGCATAAAATAAAATAAAAAAATAATATAAATTAATATAAATAGAATAAAAGAACATAATAAAATAAAATAAGATAAATTCGTATAAAATAAAATAAATGAAAATAACTAAATGAAAATAAAATAAAGGAAAAATACAATAAAACAAAAACGAAAAAAAAATAAAGTAAAATAAAAATATTAAAGAAACATAAAAAAAAATATATTATTAAAAAAAAAAATATAAAGGCAAAGAAGACGTAAATATGCAAAAAGGATAAAGATGAAAAAATTGAGAAAATTAATTAATTAAAATGATTAATACAGTATAAAAAATAAAATATAAGAGAGTATAATAAAGTTATGTTAAATAAAATCATTTAACCGATATTAAATAATATCGTAATAATAAATGAATCAAACTAAAGTAATGAAATAATTTAAATTGAGTTAAATTAAATTAAACCATCCAAAATTATACAAAGTTAAAATAAAAAGGAATATAAAAAAAAATAAAAGGAATAAAGAATCATTAAAATAAAAATAAAATAATGATAAAGAAAAGCATATAAAAAAATTAAACCAAAATGAAATTAAAATTTAAAACGAAACAATATGATGTAGATTTACTATGTAAGAAAAGAAGAAGGATGAACTGGGTTGTCTTCGGTTTTGTATGATTTTCAAGGTCAATATTTATTTGAATTTATCTGTGGGGAGTACCACAGAATCGGTTATATGGGAGCTATATGGTTAAGGATCGTTGAAATTGAACAAGTTTGGTTGAAATACCGCAAAACTCCAAGGGCAAACACGCGCGTAGGGCCGTCATTCTGACCCAATCGTTATAAATTTTATCTCCTTTTTGTACTTACATCCTTCGGACATGAAAGAGATAATAAAATAAAAATATAAAATTTTAATCCAACATTCTTTATTTCATTTGAACCGATTTTCCGTTTTAACAACAATATCGGTTTTTAACACATTCAATCGGAAACTAAGTCACGGTACAATGTGTTCCTTCTTCCATCTGCTCGTTGATTTGGTTTATTATTGTGTGTTGCCTGCGTCGGTATCTATGTATGGAAGTGTGTATATATACACAGATACAAATATCTGTACGTAAGCATAAAGTTGTGCGCTGTTCCATTTTTTCTTCCTCTTTCGACATTCGCATCCCGCTTTGTTCCCATTCCAGGCGTAAACGACATACATTTCCCGTAACGCCGCAGCCCACAGTCACACACGCAAATACACAGACCCATCCATACGCCTGCAAGCTTGGCAATGCACACAAACGTATTTGCCGGTGGACAGTTGTATTTTGTACGAGTATTGCTGGTTCGGCGCTGCGTCATTCGTTCTTTGCTGTTGGAAATTTGTTGGTTGCTCTGGTTGGTTCGAACAGCCACAACAGATATCTGTAGGTGTGCGTGTGTGTACGCTTTAGTATTTGTATGAAATCAGCAATTTTGGTGTCATCACTATGTGCAGTTTGTCCGATTGCTTTGCCTGATTTGAATGTATGTATGTATGTTTGTACATATTAAGGTGCAAAGTATTGGAGCTAATGAAAGTTGTTGGTGTTGAAATTGTTAGTGGTATTGGTTTAAGATATTGAGTTGCGCTGTTGCATCAATCCTGCTGTACAGTTGTTTCAATTAAATAATTACTCGATGACTTCTTTAAACTAAATGCTTGCTTTACTCAGGTTTTGTTAAACAAATAAACGAGCAATAAATAAGAAAATAATTTAATAACCTCCAAAAAAGTATTAATAGTTTTTACTTATTTTTATTGCACTTTCTACGCTGATTCGCTCTTATTTGCAAATATTTTATTTTTTGTTTTTGTTGCAACAATTCACTATTCCAGTAATATTTGCTTGTTTCGTCAATTCTTCCAATTTGACTTTGTTCGTTCGCTCTGCCGTTTTCTGCGCGGCTATGATCCTTTTGGCGAAATTTCTGCATTTGCCATTCTTGTTTTTTTCAATTCTTTTGCCTTTTCCAATTTAATTGAAATACATTCTTGGTTGATGTTGTTGCACTGCCATCAAAATGCAACTACCCTCCGCGGCGGCATTCACCCTTCGTCTATTCTCTTTTTGCATCGTTTTCATCCCTTCCAGCATTGCTTTGAATTCTATTACAACAATAACTGTGGTAAGCAAGTTATTGGGGGTTTTGTTGTTCCTCTTCATTTCTCTTCTCTTCTATTTTTGTTGTTGTTTTCTTTATTTAGTTTATTTCCTTTTGATGATATTTTTGTTGCTTTAGGTTTGTCTATGCGGCCATCGTTTTGTTCTTGTTTTTTTCGTTTGTCAAAATAAAATTGTTGTCTGTATGTATGCATATACGAGTACTGTTGTGCGTATGTTTCTTTGTCAACATCAACATCAGTTGGCAATTTCGGTTTCTTTTAATAAAACTGCACTTTCTGTGTCCGACGAGTTGCATTTGACAATGAAGAAATGACGAGATGACATTAATTAGGCTTTTAATACAGCTATTCGTGCTCATGCTCATCGGCCAGACCCAGCTTTAGCTCACAAACATTACCTCCTGTAACGCAGACATGCAAGATCGAGAGGTCCTTCCGGACCAGTATGATCCATGCATGAACAGTGAGGCTTCTGGAGCTCCAAAGGTAATTATTCTAGCTACCTTCTGTTGGCTCAACAGACGAACGCCGATTTGATGAAATATTTTGCTGGGGAAACAGGTATGACAACGTCGTAAAGTCGGTCTCGCCACAGTTAGGACAGTTTTACCTCTAGCGCTCATCGACCTCGAAGTCCCGTACGCCTCGCATGCAGTAAAAGTTTGTTCTCTGTATCTTACTGCTATTTTTAAGGTGAAAAGACATAAAGGTAGCTTGATTGCCGCAGGCCCAGACTGGATTTTTTACTTGACTTCTTTTATCGGATCAGTGACGGACGGGAACGTACACAATACGCTGTGACTTGATGAAGAGCAGAAGATCTGGCGGTTGTCTGCAATTCACCAGAGGCCCTGCCTGGTTGTCCATTTGGCGTGAGATCAATTCTCCAAGGTATTTTTATTTTTTGAATATCAAAACTCATCTTTATACCTATAAATTTCTTAGTTTGTAAGTCGACATGTATATGTATACATACATATATTTACAGCACGATATCCTGCCAGTAGAATAAATTGCATAATTTAAGGGTGTCAAAAGTTGTTTTCTCATCTTCATACGCACGAACTTATTTACAAACATAATTAGAAATATGTAAATATGTACATATGTACACATGTCAACGAGGTAAATTTGTTTCACACATGCAAACACGTACACATTTACATACATACATACATACATAGCAACCCCTGACCTGTCTAACGAATTTTCGAAACACCAAAATCGCTCAGATGCGTACGATCGAATTGCAATTCTCTTTGATACCTGTGCGTGTATATGTGTGTGTACGCAAGTCAAATTTTAATGAGTTTATGTGTGAATGTGCGAAAGTGTGAATAAGTGAATGCATGAGTATTTACATACAATTGATATTTAATGTTTTTCAGTACACATTTTATCTTCATAAATGAGCTGCTGCTGTTATGTAACAGGTATTTTCATCTAACATCTGATGAGAAGGTAAAAAATAGTTTATTTTTATTTATCATCTATAATATTTGAACAGAGAATAATATTAGCATCCTGTTGCGACGTTTTTTCATCCATACAGCGTAAATTTTCAGAAGAGGGAAGTTTATTGTTGCAACAACAAGAGATCTCCTCGAAATTCTCTAGGAAGACTCTTTTCTCTGCGAACTCCCGTCTAGGTGCTTTTCCAAATTTCCTTCTCAAGCAAATTGAGTACTTATTTGCTACGTCGAGCTTGTCACCTGGCCAAGTGCAATGTAAGAAGAGAAAACACAGTGCAGATGAAATTGAAGATATATCATAATGTTTGCTTTTTGTTGATAAATAAAACAAGTTTCGTAAATTTTGCTATAAGTATTAAGTAAACTACAAGGCCTGGTTGTTTGTATGAATTGAATATTTGTTATACAACAAAGAAAAATGGTAGTATTGACAGTTGTTTCGGAGATAACCACATCTCCTCATCAGACTTCTTATGGCAGGGATCGAACCAACGGATCCTGACTTAACAGGCGATTGGTCTACCACTGTTGTTGTATTATTCAATTCATTATTAATCAACAACTATTAAGTGCGTTAATTTAGCCGTTATTTTCTTAACCGCTTGGTTAGTGCGTTGCGTTGGAATCCTCTGTACTTTCAGGCGTTTATTGACTGAAGAATATATAGGCAGGAGTTTCATGTTTACAGTTTTGAGAGTTCTACTTGT